CAGAAGGGGTTACTGAGAACGATTGCCCCTAAAGTGACTCTTCTGTCTGTCAGGTCAGGGAACTGCTCTAGCCCAAAATAGAAGCCCTACAACTGGACCAAAAAGCGTGGGCACACATTGGGCTCAGGCTGGAGCACCTTTCCCTGTATGTCATGTGATCACCAGAAAATAAACTGCACTGCTCCACAAGTACAGTATTGCAATGCATTTCCCCATGTGATCATACCTTGAGATAAGCCTTATGTTCCTGATATAGGACCATCAGGGATAAGCCAGTAAAACATAGGAAACAGATATTCTGTTTGGTACTGCCCAACTGTACCAATTCTGTCTAGAGGTAGGGAATCATATATCTGAAACCTTCCTCCATTTTTAAAAAAAGACTAAAAACTCCATCATGTGAAAAATGAACACATCATAGGGAACACTTAAACTGGGGCTTCTACTTGACAGAAACAACTGTGACAGTAGTTTTTACAGTGGGAAACATTTTTAACTTGTAAAACATGATACACCCCCCTCCCCACCCCCCTCATGTGGTGGTTCAGCATAGAATTGTATGACCATTGTAATTGCTAGAATGGCTCTCGGTTTCTTTTGCATTCACTTGGGTATCTGGGCACAATTCAACTCATTTCAAAACCTACCTAACTGGAGAACAAATTGGTTCGGTTCTGCATACCTTTATAACATTCTACCCGAATAACTGACTGGGCACTGCATTATCACCCCATGAGCACCTCTGGGCTCTTTATGTCAACTTGAAAATGCATACATTTCTGATTCAGTCTGCATTTACATATTTGTCTGAGGACAACACTAATTCCTAATTACCAGCTTGTAAAATCACAGAGATCGCTTGGAAATTATTTCCTGTTTAACAAAAGTATTTCTAAAACTGGATATTTGATTGAACACTATCTCAGACCAAAAAAGCACCTTGTGAGGAAGACGGCTAGAAGGTGTCAGTTTTTATGTGTTCTCTGTTCATGCACACACACACCCTCCATGTTACGTTTCCGGCAGGTGCTTAGCTCCGTCCCAACTGTGACAGCAATGCGCCGAGAGTTCACAATCTTCCTTTCTCTTACTGTTACTTTTATCCCAGCAAAACAGTGGCAGTGGAAGCACATTTTAAACATATTTCCCTTTGAACTTGGATACCTGCTGTGGAGATTGTGTTGTTTTTAGCAAGGAGTACTGCAAGTAAATTGTTCTACTACCATAACAAGTGACACAAGATCACCCGTTACAAGCACTCCCAGCCTGTGCAGCGTCTCATCTAGCAAGACGAATGTGGCCTCTCGGCTTGTCGGAGATGCCAGTTTTTCTTCCAGTCGCACTTGAAGACGAGAGGACCGCCAGGCCCTTGGAAGGCCACAGTGGATGACCAGGAGGCTTTTCAACTCATAGCCAAGGTCAGGGAAATATGTAAATTCTGTTTTCACCTGCATTCATAATTTAAAGCTTCATAATAATTCCACCCCAAATATTAAGTAATTTCTTTTTTTCGGGGGGGGGGGGGTGTCCAGTTTTCAAAAATAAACTCAGTGAATTTCTCCTTCATTATCACTGGCCAGGTTAAATGGGTACAGCAGTTTCTAGCACAGAGGGGACCATGCTATACTTATGTATATACTGTAGTTATTATAGGGTTGACATATTATGATGGGTTTTCTTGGACTTTATACATGTCACCGTTCCTGTTTATCTCATCACTTGGTATAGATTCAAGCCTTTCACATCTTTACAAAAGCAAGTCTCCAGCCTTCATAGAACTGGAGATTTTGCCACCCAAAAAAGAGATTAATTCTTAATCTAGATAGGTGAGCATATGCTAGGCCGGAGCACATGGTCCAATGCAGTGGCATGGCCCAGCCTTAAGGGAGAGATGTTGACAGCTTGAAAAGATTGAAAGGGCTAATTGAGAGGACAGGTAGAGGCATATCTTTCTTTTTGGGGGGAGTGCAACTGGAAGGTGAAGAGACAGCCAGAACAGATATGAACTGCTCTACTTCCAAAAGTAGACAGTTGTGAAAAAGTGATGCTTCCAGGAGAATCCACCAACAATGGAAGGAGGGATTTAGGAAGGATTTATATTGAGGAGAAGCAGAAGCAAAATATAGGAAGTATCACATTGGGTTGGCACTTGCTTTCAGATCTCTCTCTCTCTCTCTCTCTCTCTCTCTCTCTCTCTCTCTCTCTCTCTCTCTGTGTGTATGCATGCAGCAAAGAAAATCAAATACAGCAGGAAAAAAACACCTAGGTTATATTTTCTAGTTCTAATAGAAAATTCAATCAGAAGGCAATCACATCTTGTCCTCCTCTCCCTCCCCCATCTGCAGGTTGCCCTCTTCAAAAAAAATTTCTGCAAATGAATGTGTGTGTCGCTTGTGTGGAAATATTCACTTGTGTAATAGTCTCATGAATTGGGGGCGTGGGCAAAAAACCCAACAACAGTCACACACATCATCCTCATCAGAAAGCCCTGTGCATGGCAAACTATCACTGATCAAAATCCTACTGTGCAGTTGTGCTGGAGAAAAGAAAATGGGAGAATTTGCTGTGGCAATTGCTGCTAATGAATCAGTCCCTGCTTGTTTTCCTCATTGTGTATCAGTGCAGTGGCCAGGTGCATGACCAGAAATCCACACAGGTTCTTGTTAATTAGCAGTGGTTAGCCACACTTTCTCCCTTCAACTGTGAAAAGCCTATGCAAGAAGTTATTTGCCATTATTTATATACATTACCCATGTTCAGGGTGGCTTAATCAGCTTCCCTTTTCCGTATTTTATCCTGAAAACAATCCTGTACAGTAGATTTGGATGACAGTTACTAATTGTCCCAATGATAACATGTAAACTTTGTTACTAAGCAAGGATTTGAACTTAGGTTTCGCAGCTGAAAAAACTCCGAACCATTACATTCTACTGACTCTCAATGTACCACCATTTACTATATTAAAAAGGATGAAAAATGTGAAAGCAAAAGCAGAACAGTTTTGCTTTTGCTGAAACATATTGGTAGAAAAATAGTGATGATATGACCACTTAATCTTTCCAAATAAATCCATCTAATTTGCAAATTAAGAACAAAAGTTTGGACAACTGGAATATGGTAAACCTAATTGTAGGTGAGAAGGATTTTAGAGAAAAAGAAGCCAAAAGCCTAAGGTCCCAGGAACCAAATCAAGACTTTAAAGCACTCAAAACTTTGAAACCTCAATGGACAATCTATTAATTTTCTTTTCTTTTGTATCTTTTAAATATCAAGTTATTTGAAGTAAAGTTTGTAAACTCTTATCAAATTCTTATCAAAAGTGAACCAAGAACTAACATTAAGTTCTCATGGATCATTAGCTCAGTGTTTGGGAACCCCACGAGGTTCTTGGAGGCCTTCTGCACAACCTGTGTAGATATAAAAGATCTTCTGACCACTTCATCAAACTTTGCTCTGATTCCTTTGTTGCTGATTCACAACAGTCAAAGGGGAGAGATAGTTTCCACAAAATATGGGAGACCCCATCTAGACCAAGAAACATTTGCTTTACAAAGGCCCATATGTGCATGTGCACCATATATTTTGTTTCCCTCACAACAGGTATGTATGCAACACATGGACCAATTCAGGTTTGTCAAAAAAGTCAATTACAAATAGATTCGAGAAAACTTCAGCATGGGCCTTTTCAACCTTCTGCCCCTACAAGGGTTATGAATGCAAAAAAATAAAAAATAATAAAAAATAAAAAAACATTCCAGAGTTATAATTAAGGGGCACATGGTTATGGAAGGCATAAGACCACTTCACAATTTGTAGCACGGCCATAGATGTCACCAAGGGCAAGATCTTGGTCAGTGGTGTACTGTAGTAAGAAACTACATCCTTTGTACATACATAACAGTTTCAGTCCATGATGCTGCACACAAGATTCAGAAAGTCCACTATATGAAACCTAGAAGAGTTGCTGCCAAGGTGTATCCATACATAGGGACCCTAGAGCTACCAATCAGAAGGCATGGCACAGCCATTTCACCTCTTCCTCCTTGACAGATTAATTTATTGTAAGACAAAAAAGAGGAAAAACACACAAAGGTGACCAATAGAAGAAAATACTGTCCGGATCTCCTGTAAATTTTGTGAATAAGGAAGATGACTGCAAACTAAAAGCTTCATCTCAATGTACCACCAGTCAAAGTAGAGAATGCTGAGCCAGACAGAGCAATAATCTGGCTTGACACAGAACAGATTCCTTTTCTGAAGATGATATGCTATGGTGGTCCTATTCGGTCAAGGAATCTATTACAGTGAAACAGCTTCCATGCGGTTCAAATTTTAGCTTTTACTACTCCAACAAAACTGTCCCAAATGAGGGTTTTACTGCTCTGATTAAATCAAGATAAACTCATGAAAGATGCTTTGAACAATGACTTGGCTTTCTCAGTGGGCATGACAGAATGTGTGAAACAGTGCTAGATCACACACAAATTAAAGGTATTATCTACCTGTGATACAAGACCTATTCCATTGTTGTCTATCTGTGACGTAAATCTAATCCACTTATTCACCACCATTGGATGCTGAATGTGAGTCAACTGGAGAGCAGGATTTTCCCCTTACAATCTACTTGCATATGGCAGGCACAGATATTGAATGGGCTGTTTCTTACTGGGCAACATTTTGCTACATCAGGGCGGCCGAACCTGCTAGACACTAAGGTGATTGTAGCCCCCTATCTCCCCCCCCCCATCACTGACAGGCATCAGAAAGAGGAAAACTGTACTACATTTGGCCTGTTAGGCAACCAACAGGTGTCTAGAAATTCTTATAGGCCTCTAGGATAATATATTAAATGCTAACCCTGCAGCTTTCATCCTTTGCTCTTTTTTTAAATAGTGTTCAGCCACAACAGAAGGGAAACAAAACCAAAATGAACTGCTTCTCAGAAATTTCAAGCACACACAACATCAACATAATATAATGCACAATAAAATACTTCATACCTGGAGTTGAAAAAACGAAAAGTGTTAACTGCTGACCTGGCACAGCCCCACATGCTCTCTCTGGAAATTGAACACAGACAATTAGGAATTTTAAGATACCCCAAAGAACTGCAGAAAGGGGCAGACAACAGGAATGGAAACGTACAACAACAGCGGGGTCAACAACACAGACACTTTATGTCTTGGGTTTTGCATTCCTCCACTTGAAAATTACCTACAACTAGCAGTCAGAAAGTTATGGCAAGAGCTTTGGAAAAGCTACACTTTGGATTTCTGCTTTCAGAATTCTTTCACCTCACTAGTGGCTTTTAGCTCAAAGTAGTACAGTAATTAAAAAATTATCATTTTTCTGAGCTCTTGCTATCAGCATAATGTTACATGAGCTGAATATACTATTGGGAAAGTTTAGGGAGTTTTAGTGGTTAAAAATGAAATCAGGGAGTTCCCTACAAAGCAAAATGTTCTGAGGGCTCTTTCAATGACATCATGTTTTAAGGTTTAAATCTCCAGGCTATTTAGCAAGTAATAAAAAGAATACTGTCTCTCAACCTATGTCAGGTTTGTCCCAAGACAGAGCAGAAATTGCTGGCTTCTTGAACCTGTAATCCAGCCATTGCACAGAACAGAGAGTCATGTGCTTCAGATCTAATGAAGAATGTACTTGGGCCTGAAGCTCAAAATTGACTATGGGCCTGACCAGACTGAAGAACAAGATGGTGGAAGCCATTTTAACAGCAATCAACCCGACTGTTATTCTAGGAGCAATCACCCCCAAATTCTCATTCTAGGCAGTGGCCATCATGCAACTGCGCATGTTTGCTGAACAGATCCTCCACAAAGGGGCTGTGACTTCTTTTTTTGAAATTGTATCTGCAGGATTTACAGGGCTCATTCAGAAATTCAGAAATTTAGAATTTCATTTCTAAGCAAAAGAGAGAAATTGTTAACCAGAATGAGAGATGCTTCCTCAATAATAATATTGAAAAACAACAATAACAGTATCTGTTGCTTCAAAGTAGAGATGGGGGTATTCAATATTCATAAGGTGGACATAACGAGGGTCCAGCCCCATGGGGACAGATGGTCCACTCACCAATCCGCTGCAGGTGCGGGTCCCACAGAGCCTTCCAATGGCTCTGGAAATTGCATTCGGTGAGCCACTCTTTGACCTAGCAGAGGGGCTTGTCATCCTGCCTCCTGCTAGGAGTGGCGAGCCAAATGTGATCTCTGGAGCCATTGGAAGGCTCTGTGGCACCTGCATCCATGGTGGATCAGTGAATGGACTGTCAATTCCATTGGGGCTGGAGCCTCATTATGTCCACCTGTGCGGGGGTATTCGTATTTGTATACGAATGTGCATACCCCCATCTCTACTTTAGAGCATTATACACTTGTAATCAAATGCTTTAAACTGCAACAATAATGTAATGGTTTGATGACAGATAAAAGTAATACAAGGTGCACAAGTTCCAACAACTGAGATTTTAGCACCATCCCATAACATTAACTACCAAATAGGAAACTTCCTGCAAATATTCTGAACAGCTAAATTACGCTATAAAAATCTATTAATTAAATGATCAAAATAAATTGTGCCAGTGCCTTTAAAAAGCAATCTGCACAAGGATTTCAGAGTCACACTCCTATCTGCTGAAAATCCCAATGGAAATGTTGCAGGTCCAAAAGATAATGTTATGACATGGAAACGGGGCAGGGGTGGGATACCAGTAAGGATATATCACACAGCATGAAATTTTACACATTGAAAAAAAGGGTACTAGAGATTCAGAGCTGCAGCTATATAAACATACTTGGGAGTAAATCTCATTGAACTATGAAAGCTTATTCCTTAGTGGTCCAAACTTCTGAGAGCTTAAGCACACACTTGTGTTTTAAAACCTGAGGCACAACAGTGAAATTCCCAACTGCACTTTGAAAAAGCTGCCATTCTGTATATATACAGTATACATATGTGGTTCCTAATTCAAAGGAGGTAAGTCCAGAATGATGACTCTGTAAGCCTGGCTTAGAGATAACTCTAAATTTGGGCTCACATATATCCTTTTCCTCCACTGACCTTTTCTAATGAAGATGGAAAATAGGCAGCTACTATTTCCATTTTCATTCAGAACTGTGGAGATTTGTTTTCAGACTACAGTTACCAAAATTCCCCATGTAGTAGAACTATCACAGTATGTAGGAAGTCTCAGAATTGTCACTGGAAACCACAAAGTCCACAGCTGTTTTTTTCCCCAGTCACCTGTAAACTGTGGTTAACCTAACTGTATTATCTACTGGAAAAAGTCAGCCTTCTAAATCATGGTTCAAAGCTGGCTTGTTTGATGTAAACCATAATTAAGACTAGTAACATTTTGTCTAGGATTGATGCAATGCTAAACTGTCACTAACTAATAAAAGGAGAAGCAAAGGGTTTTTATAGTCTCCTTGCTGCCTTCCCAGAGGGGGATAAAAGATGAAAAACTCAAGGCATCTTCATATAATTTTAGTTATAAATTATAAATTTATTAGCAAGCCCAGCTATTCAGAGACACAACAGGCATCAGACCCTTGGTCTATCTATCTCACTGTTACCAACACTAACTGGCAGTCACTCTATATGATTTGTCAGTTTTTCTCACCCTATTAAGTAATGCCAGGGATTGAACCTGGAGCCTGCTGCTTGCAAAGCATGTGCTCTACCATTGAATCACTGCCCCTCTGTGGAAAATGACTGAACGGTCTACTCAGACCCAACACAGAGGGACAACAGAATTACCTCTTCCACCCATAGAAGTCGATGAACGTCAGATGTGTAAAACCTGTAAAGAAGTAATGGGCAGTACTGTGTGTGGAACAAAGCATTTCCCTCCCTGTAGCCTTTAAGCTCGACCATAAATGGATTGGGACCTAGATATGTGAAGGATATATATATAAGATCTTAATGCTTGGTATATATAACGGTCTACTCACACCCAACACAGAGGGACAACACACACACACACACACGTGTGTGTGTGTTTGTGTGTGTGTGTGTGTGTTTGTGTGTGTGTGTGTGTGTGTGTTGTACCTCTGGGTGTGAGTAGACCGTTATATATACCAAGCATTAGGATCTACCATAAAAACTCTCATTAAATGCGTTTTGAAGCACATGCAGAGGGCTTCACTGCTGTGGTACCCAATTTGAAGCATGTCCTCCTTTTAATAGCTGGCTTAGTACAGTGGTGCCTTACTTAACAATTACCTCATTAAACAACGAAACCGCTTGATGATGAAGGTTTTGTGATAGCTTTTGTGATCGCAAAATGATCTTTTAATGGGAAAAATTCTCTTAACTATGATAGGTTCCCTGTTTCGGGAACTGATTGTTCACTAAACGTCAATTTTGAAACAGCTGATTGGCGTCTCTAAAATGGTCACCCGCTGTGCAAAATGGCTCCCCGCTGTGTTTTCAGGACAGATTCCTCGCTTTACAGGCACCGAAAATGGCCGCCCCCTATGGAGGATCTTCGCTGGACGTTGAGGTATTTAGCCCATTGGAACGCATTGAACCGGTTTCAATGCATTTCAATGGGCTTTTTTGTTTCACTTGACAATGATTTCGCTTAACAGTGATTTCAACGGAACGAATTATCCTCGTCAAGTGAGGCACCACTTGCCCTTATTTGGCACAATGTTAATATGTGGCTATCCACCCAAGCTTCTAGGTTCCAATGAATATGACTCTGATCTTCTTGGTTGTAAGTGCCTGCATATTGTTTTATGAGGCTGAATTGTTTTAAATGGTTTCACAATTGCTTAAAGTTATTTTATTTTTGAACAACAATGGCAGAAAACTCAGAGTAAATTTGACTATACAAAGACTTACCAATTGGAAGGCCTATTCCATGGCAGTGGAGGTGGCAAAGAAGTCATTCTTCTCTGCCACCACTGTGTTGGCACAGAGTCACCCAATGGAGCTCTTTGGGGTGGTCAAGGGCCTATTACCTCATGGCCCAAAGGAAGAGAATTCAAACCACACTGTACAATGCAGTAAAGAACTCGCATACAACCTGTGTTGAATGGGGTTACAGACTCTCTGAAAACACAGGTAAAATCCCTCTGAATACATAATTTGGGGGTGCTCCTGGATTTGTCTCTGAGTCTGGATCCCAGGTTTTGGTGGTGGCCAGGAGTGCATTTGCACAATGAAAACTAGTGTGCCAGCTGCATTCACCCCTTGAAAGGTCTGATCTGGCCATGGTGACACAGGCTGGATTACTGTAACATGCTCTACATGGGGCTGCCTATGGAAAAAGTCAGAAAACTTCAATGGGTTCAAAATGCAGGAGCCAGATTGCTAACTGGGACTGGCCACAGGGATCACAGAACCTGCCTGTTACAGCTGCTCCACTGGCTGCTGATCTGTTACTGAACTGAATTCAAAGTGTTGGTTCTAAACTATAAAGCCCGTAATGGCTTGGGCCCAACGTATCTCAAGGACCGCATCTCCCTTTATGAGCCTGCTCAAGTGTTAAGATCAACAGAAGAGGCCTGTCTCTTGGTCCCACCGCTGAGGGACACCGGAAAGGGCCTTCTCTGTTGCTGATCCCAGACTTTGGAACATTCGCTCACAGGAAGCTAGGCTTGCCCCATCTTTGCTGTCCTTCCACCTTCTCTTCTGGCAAGCTTTCCCTTGCCTGAATAAAGTTTTAAATGGATTGTTTTACCTTACTGCATTTAATATGTTTTGGTGTTGCTGATGTTTTTTTTTTTAATGGTACTTATTTGATCCTTTTGTATTTGTCCATTTACCATTGTAAGCATGTCCTTTATTTATGTAAACCACCTTGGGTCCTTTTTAAGGAGAAAGATAGGGTACAAATATCTTAAATAATAATAAATAAATAATAACTACTGTATTCTCTGTACCATTTCCTGGTAACTCTTGCTGCAAGATATCTATCTATCTATCTATCTATCTATCTATCTATCTATCTATCTATCTATCTATCTATCTATCTATCTATCTATCTATCTATCTATCTATCTATCTATCTATCTATCTATCTATCTATCATCTA